AGAGAGAGACGCACAAAGTGTGGGGGAATGAGAAAACAACAGGTAGAAATTGGACCTGCGCCTCAGGGCACCAGCACCAGCAGCAGCAACAGCAGCAGCCTGTTGCTTCTGCTTCTCAGTTCACCAGCAACGAGAAACTGGAGCGATCCAAAAGTCCTGGTATTTTCAAAATCTAAAAACCAACAACCAGATTCTCTCGTTTCTCAAACTGAGATTCGCAGGTTTAAAAAAATGGAATTACATCTCATGTTTTAAATGAACAGCGGACAAAATTCAGGGACCCGTTTCTGAAGTAATCATTTCTTTTGAATTTCTTGAGCTATCACATTGAAAAAATTTAAACTCTTTCGTCTCCCTGTCAAACAAAGTCCAGTTGTATGAGTTTTTATTCTTTTATTTTTATTTTTACACTTGAACTTGTTTGGCACAGCAACAAAAACCAGGAAAAAATGAAATTTGCTTTTGCACAAGGGTTGAGTCCTTTACAGCATTTTTGGAACTCAATTGAAAAATATTTAAGATTTCAGACAGAAAGCTTTGTTCAATATGCCAAAATGCACTACAGTCAAACCTCTACCAAACTTCATGGGACCCAAATTCAACTACAGTGAACTTTCAGAGTTAAGGAAAGTACTACAGTATTACTGTGTTTTCGGTCACAAGAAAATTGAGAATCGCAGGAAGTTAATACTGCATTGACACTTTTTGGACCATAGACTGCAGAATAAATAAGTTGACAGGATTTTGCACTTTATGTGCAATGGAAATTTTGCCAAATTCATCACTCCCTTCCTCTTGAAAAGCATCAAGTTAAATTTTTACTACTTTTCTCTCTCCTGGCTCCTCAGAATAATAGCCTAAGGGTCTCTCAAAATTTTTTAGTTAGACAGTCCTGAGAGGGAAAGTCTTTGAGTTGGGGATATTTACATCGAATTGTCCTCAAGAAAATCCAGACAAGGGCTAATAACAAACATTTGACATTCTGAGGTTTTTGACTGACAAAGGTTCAATTTATCGAAGTCAAACTCCATATTATTTTAGCCTTGGCACAAGAATCCAACAACAGCATACACAGGATGGTACCTGATAAAACAAATATCTTTTCTCTACAAACATTGTGTATGATGAATATTTGTATACATTTTGTTCACCGTTTTAATATGCAAAAAATGGTTTATGTGATAAATTTTTTTCGTTATGCAAATGAGAAAAGAGGTTTTAACTAATATTGTTATAGCTTTGGTACAAGAATCCAACAACAGCATACACAGGATGGTAACTCATAAAACAAACATCTTTCACAACAAACATTGTGTATAATGACTATTTGTATGCATATTCTTCACCCTTTTTATGTGCAAAAAATTGTTTAAATGATAAATTTGTTCTTTNAGAGAGGTAAAAATCAAAGGTAGACCCTGTTAGGGTTGCATCAATGACTGAGCAAGATTCATTGACAGATCTTTATCTCTCCCCCTCGTTCCTTGTCCCCACCGTGCTTAACAGCCCACCAGAAAAACCCGATTCGAAATGAGCGAGAAAATAAAAAAAAAAGGAAGGAAGGAAATGAATAAGAGGAAGCCGAAATCTAGAAAACCCCCCTTGCCTCAGTCGAGGCCGGCCCCGGGAACCCATTAAACCTGAACCCGGCACAGAAAAACACCCCCCACCTGCAGCTTCGTCCTAATGTCCACCTCGGGCAGGGAAACGAAAGAGAGAAACATTTGACAAGAAAAAAAGAACCCAGGCCTTTTTAAAATGCCCACGGAAAAAAGGAGCCGATTAAGAAATCGGCCCCATTATCACGCAATCAATAGCTCGGAAAAGCGTCGCCCACGTCAGCGAGGGGCTTTTGCAAAATTATGGTGTTGAAAATAAGGAACATTTCATTGCACATTCCATGCTGAAACTGTCTGAGGAATCCCTCATGTCCAAGAATTCTGGAAACAAGCGAAGGAATGACCATATTTTTTAAAATAATGAATCTCATTACTTTGGAGCATTTTATGGACTTTCCCCAAAAAGAGGCTTTGAAAAAAGGAGACGATCTAATTTCATCAAAATTTTCATTTTTGTTTTTTTTTCATCACAACCATAAGAACTTCAGAAACCCACTTTTACCATTCAGTTTTTTTTCTTGAAAGAACAAAATATTTGTTCTTTAAACAACGCGCAGGCACAGAGAAGTATGGGGTGAAAAATGGGTAGGTGTACCTCTAGATGTTGTTGATAACCCCTGCCTAACGGTGACGTTATATTCATGACATGTACAGTTCACAACGTTATCAACACAACAGTCAGTCCAAGACAGGACCAGGAATTCCTTATAGGAATTCCCAAGTTAACAGGATAAATGTATTTTAAAAAGGTAATTCATAAACAACTCAGCAAACTCTTCTCACAGCTAGGATACATTGATTAACAAATAACTCAACTCAACTACTACTGATGATGATCTGATTAAGCATGAGCTGCATATATACTCAGATATATTTAACCTTCATTGGTTTCAACTTTACGTGACAGAAAAGACCTTTAATAGGTCAAAAATCTAGAGTCAAAGATGCTATGGTGCCAAGAAGTACCTGGCATGGCAATTTTGAAGAGGGAGAAACTATTATTGATTTCTAGCAATTTATATTTGATAATTAATGCATGGCGTGCTTGCCCAACATCCGCTTTCTTTGTCCTCCACTTTTTGCCCATCCAAATGGAGATATATACCAACTATTGGGGACAAATTGTCACCTCAATATAAGTTGATGTTGAGTGTTGCAATAAAACACAAAAATCAGTCTGGGATAAGACCAGGAATTCCTAATTTAACGGGATAAATGTATTTCACAAAGGTAATCATGACTCAGCAAACTCTTCTCACAGATAGGATAAATTGGTTAACAAGTAACTCAACTCAACTACTACTGATAATGATCTGATTAAACATGAGCTGCTTATATACTCAGATACCTTCATTGGTTTCTACTTTACATGACAGAAAAGACCTTTAATGGGTCAAGAATCTAGAGTCAAAGATGCTATGGTGCCAGGAAGTACCTGGCACTGCAATTTTGAGGAGGGGGAAACTATTTATGATTTATAGGAATTTATATTTGATAATTAATGCGCAACGTGCTTGCCCAACACCTGCTCTCTTTGTCCTCCACTTTTTACCCATCCAAATGGAGATCTATGCCAATTATTGGGGACAGATTGTCACCTCAATATAAGTTGATGTTGAGTGTTGCAATAAAACACAGAAATTTGTTGCGCGTCCGTGTCTCTTCATACCCCACTTTTTACCCATCCACATGGAGATCTACAACAACTATTGGGGACGGATTGCCACTGCAATATAAGTACTGTACATGTCAAGTGTTGCAATAAAACACAACAGTCAGTCCAAGACAGGACCAGGAATTCCTTATAGGAATTCCCAAGTTAACAGGATAAATGTATTTTAAAAAGGTAATTCATAAACAACTCAGCAAACTCTTCTCACAGCTAGGATAAATGGATTAACAAATAACTCAACTCAACTACTACTGATGATGATCTGATTAAGCATGAGCTGCATATATACTCAGATATATTTAACCTTCATTGGTTTCTACTTTACATGACACAAAAGACCTTTAAAAGGTCAAGAATCTAGAGTCAAAGATGCTATGGTGCCAGGAAGTACCTGGGGCTGCAATTTTGAGAAGGGGGACACAATGAATGATTTCTAGTAATTTATATTTGATAATTGATGTGCAACGTGCTTGCCCAACATCTGCTCTCTTTGTCTCCCACTTTTTACCCATCCAAATGGAGATCTATACCAACTATTGGGAACAGATAGTCACCTCAATATAAGTTGATGTCAAGTGTTGCAATAAAACACAAAAATCAGTCCGGAATAGGGATAAGTTAACAGGGTAAAAGTATTTCACAAAGGTAATCATGACTCAGCAAACTCCTCTCACAGATAGGATAAATTGGTTAAAAAATAACTCAACTCAAAGACTACTGGTGATGATCTGATTGAACATGAGCTGCTTATATACTCAGATACCTTCCTTGGTTTCTACTTTACAAGACAGGAAAGACCTTTAATAGGTCAAGAATCTAGAGTCAAAGATGCTATGGTGCCAGGAAGTACCTGGCACTGCAATTTTGAGAAGGGGAAACTATTATTGATTTCTAGGAATTTTATTTGATAATTAATGCACGGGCACGAACGGGTTGTGGACGAGAGAAACAGGAGGTGAAAAATGGGTAGGTTTACCTCTAGATACGGTTAATAACCCCTGTCTAACAGTGGAGTTATATTCAACTACAACTCACAACGTTATTTTGTGAAAAATCAGTCTGGGATAGGACCAGGAATTCCTTGTAGGAATTCCTAAGTTACAAGGATAAATGTATTTCACAAAGGTGATTGATAAACAACTCAGCAAACAGCAAACTCTCACAGCTAGAATAAATTGGTTAAAGAATAACTTAACTCAACTACTGATGATGATAAGACTGAATATGAGCTGCTTGTATACTCAGAGTTATTTAACCTTCATTGGTTTCTACTTTACATGACAGAAAAGACCTTCAATAGGTCAATAATCTAGAGTCAAATATGCTAAGGTGACAGGAAGTACCTGCCACTGCAATTTTGAGGTGGGAGAAACTATTAATGATTTCTAGGAATTTATATTTTTAATAATTAATGCGCTGCATGCTTGTCCAACACCAACTTCAGAAAAGCCCCGCTTCTTTCTTCATTTTCTCCTTCTCCTTTAATACAAAAAATAAATAAGGGAAGGACATTGGACACACGTGACGACTTCATCGGACACCGAAAGCAAGGAGGGGGATAATGCCCACGCTTTTCGGCGGCGTCACGCCCGGAGATAAATCACTGCTGCTGGCGGAGGAAGCTCGCTATAAGGGAGAGTCGTGACCGGGTGCGAGTATAAGACTTGTGACTCTTTCCTTTTTTATTTTCTTTTCTTTTATATTTTTTAAAATTTCTCTTACGTATCTTTCCCAATATTTTTCTACCTAGTTCACTTCTTCGCATTCCTGCTGAAACTGCGAACCAGCTACTTCCTCTATATTCTTTCAACATTTTATCTTTTCCGCGCTTTCGCCTGATTTTTCGGTTGTGTGTGTGTGTTTTTCTTTCGCATTTCCTCTCCTCCCCCCTCCCCCCGCTTAGAAGGCTTCCGGAAGAAAGAAAAAAAATACTGAATTTTCGTGTGTCGAAGAGTGAACGAAGACGAGGGCTCCTGGTTCCGCTTGATTTCTGGGATTAAAATGCCGGTAATGTCTCTCCATCGAGGGAAATGTCTACGTTTTTCAGAAATCAAACAATGGGAAAGTGGGAAACAGTTATCTTCTGGTGTCAGAGGGGGAAAAAAATCCAAGAAATCCCTGCTTGTTTTACCTGCATGAATGATTTCTTTTTTTTTTATTTCAAAAAAAATTTGTTTGGTATGATTCGTAGGAGCATTTGAATAAAAAGTTCAGCTGAATTTCAAGTGACCAGCCAAAAAATAATAATTCGAGTTAGGGAAACAAACGTTTTTATTAGGGAAAGGGAAAATAAACGATTGCGGGAAATTGTAACTGGTGATATTCTGGGCCATGAATTGCTTCTCGAATGAGTTGGCTGGATGCTGAACTTGGATGCAAGGGTTGAATTGCCAAATTAGTCTTTGACTTCCTTTCAAAACTCATCAAGTTAAATAGCTTTTGTTTTTCTCTTTCCTACGACAATAAAATAATGGCCAAAAACGCCCCTCAAAAATTCGATTAATATGGAGGTTTGAGAGGGGGGAAAAGTCTTCGAGTTCAAAATGAGTAAAACACAGAAAGAAATTTGAAGAAAATATAATTCGAGTAAAGCGAAGCTCGAATGATCGAAGTTCAACTGTAGAAATGCAACAACAACAAAAAGACGACTCACTGATTTCGCATTTGTCACCAGTCCATCCATTGGGACACACGCAAGTGAACCCCAAATCCGTGGTTCCGTTCGCACTCCTGGTTCCGGTACCCGCCGAGTTGTTACCCCCGGCAGCAGTGCTGGAACCCGTGTCGATCCCAGTGGCGCTGCTGCTGCTGCTGCTGCTACTACTGTCCCGTTTGAACTCGTAACAAGTGGCACCATTGTGACACGGGGTTGTGGCACACGGGTTGTCAACCACTTGGCAATTCTGGCCAGAGAACCCGTCCGGACAAGTGCAAGAATACTCATTCGGGGCCGTGTTCTCGCAAGTGCCTCCGTTCCGACAGGGTTCGTGTGTCCCGCAATAATTAAGATCTGCAAAAATAAAAATAAAAAATAAAATTCAATTAAAAAAAAAAAACCGTGAAATCTTTGTCACAAGGAATTCTCAGAGATAAATATTCGTTGAAACAAATAATCCTTTTCTAATCGACACGCCGAGGCCCGAAGTACAGTAAATTATTTCGAAAAATAAATGCTAAAGAAAGCTTCTACCAAAAAAAAAATTGCATATTCTTTTACAAAATAATTCCCTTTCGGAGAAAATAAATAGGAAAAATTCAGCATTTAAAATTCCCCGGTCGGAAATTGAACCTGCCTCACGTGCTTTTGGTTTTCTAAAAAAAAAAAAAGTGATGTTCTTACTGCAATATGCAGTAAACTGAAACCGAAAGCAAATGAATGACACGTAAACGACGGAAAATCAAACTTTGAGCGATTCTAAAGAATTTCTACATCTGTCGTAGAATTCCAAAGCATTCCGAAAAATAGTCTCCTGAAAATCCGAAAGTTTTATTTTTCTCCAAGTCACTTCGACGACGAAAGGAAATGTGAAAATTCAGCAGCGGTTAAAACGTCCTGCTCTGATACTTGACCTGCTTTTGTTTAAGATGTCCTTTAAATGTACTAATCTTACTGGAATATCATAAATTGGAGCTAAAATACAGTACTGTAATAAAAATGAATGGCATGCATTATAGACGACAAATCGAGCCTTGGGCATATTTTCGGACATTTTTATTTCGCCTTCATTCAGGCACAGGTCTTTTTTTTGTTTGGACCAAGCATTGCATTTTATACGTAAGTAACTCGTCAGTCAATGTGTATCACAATATTCTGAAAGTAAAAAAAAAATTTCCAGTCGCACGGAAGACTCGAAACGTCCCAGAGATTGATTGAAATAAATACCTCCAAAGAAAACGAAAATGAATCATTTAATTTTGCTTTTAATTTCATACCTTATTAAAACTCTCCTATTCTCAGTATATAATTTGAAGCAAGAATCACGGACCTATACGCATGCAGGTAATATTAATCACCTCCCGGATGCCTCAAATTATCTCTCATTTTCATTATCTCGCACTTGATTGGCTGCCCGCCATTAACGACCATACAAGGATCAAAAGGGGAATTCATGCGGAATTATCGTCCGGATTATTATTATTATTATTTCGGGAAATATAGTTCCGTGTTTCATTTTTTTTTTTGGTTGGTGAATAATAATAACTCGAAAAATCAGCGGCGAAACAAAAACGCACGCGCAGGTGAGAATTCCAAAAATCCCGCGCGCCACACATTCGAAACGCATTTCTCACTCAAACTTGGAATGCAGTGGGCGGCGACGGGTCGCAAACGAGGGCGGAAATTACTCCAGGGGGTTCCACCAACAACCCCAGCCTTTTTTTCAATATTTTTCATTACCTCATTTCTAATTTTTAGTAAAAAAAAAAAAGATATGGTATAGGCTTGAAGATATTAAGTAACAGAGTCAAGTTTTTAAAAAAAAAAGAAGAAAAAAAAAACATTTAGGTGTTTTTGGAGGGTGAGGAAAATTGGGTGGGCGCGTGTGAAGGGGGAACGGGAATTTGTGCGAATGACTCGACACTTTAGGGAGGCAAAATTGCGGAAATTGCCGGGTTTATTCAATTACTTGTCACTGCCCCCCCCCCCCAACCCCCTGAGGGGGATGAAGTGAAGTGTCGTCGGCTTGTTTGAGGTCCATCACATGTACGTAATTTTTTTCTTTTCTTTTCAAACTTTTTATCTGATTTATTTTTATCTTGATCCTCCCCTCGGGGAACATTTTCGTCTCTCCGAATTGAGACGATAGAATGTCGCAGATTTTTTTTTCCTCGTGATCTCCGTATGAACTACGAAAAATATCAAGTGCTTCATTTTTTTTTTGCATGACATCAGCGCATTATTTGCGGAATTCTTTTCACCACTCGCAGACGAATCATTTTGAGATGCCAATGATACTAAAAGGCTTCTAAAGTTTATTGCAAAATAAACAGAAAAAACACCCGGTAACTTAGCACTCCAGTATGCAGAAAATATTTTTGATTGTCCTGAATTTCATCAAATTTTAGATACAGTACATAATCAAAGCGATTCGGAAAATCCAAGCATGTTCATTTATTACGCCGTCTTTATTAAAGGTCGACAAAAATAGGAAACAATTTGTATACAGAATATCTTCTCAAACGCAATTCATTCGGATCATGGCAGCGTGAGGCTTATTTTTACGCTGAATGTTCATCATTTTTATTGTTGAGTTCAGCTTATTTTGGAAATATAACCCAGGTTTTGTAAAAAAAAAATTTAAGTAGGTGAAGTAAATTTTCATCATTCGACCTGGCGCCAATTTTTGGAGATCATCTTAGTACTAGCTTTTCTAAAAAACAACAAAATCCAAGATTCTAATAAATGTCATGACTTGATCAAAGCACAATAAATCGAATGAAAAGCGGGTTTCATTTTTAAAATGCGATAAATCATGACGCAATGACAAGAGAAGACACGAAAAGAGGATGTTTGCCGTCAGAAATGAATCACAAAATGTCTAAATTCACACGTACACACACCTAGTTTACTTCAAATGTGAGAAAAGTCATACTATATAGGGGGAAACGATGCGATAAAGAATAAGTATTTGCTGACAGTGACATGATGTGATCTGACAGCAGACAATGAATCATCCCGCAGATAAAATCTGAGTATCAAGAGATTTTAGTTGCGAGAATTTAAGCTTCTGTTCGAAAATCATCTCCTATTTTCGGAGTAATGCCACACAAAAGTGCTGTACATTATTGAGGACATTGTTTTGGGTAATATAGTATTTAATCCGTATGATTCATCGTTTCTAAACGGATTTTTTTTTTTACAAGCAATGAAAATGTTGAATTTCGCCGGGATTTTTTTTCCCTCGAAAATAATAAGACGAAGGTTTTCCTTGTCCACGACCCGAAAACGAAAAACACCGGAACCCTCAGCTCGTTTGAAAATTTCTGGGGATGGTTTTCAAATTGTCTCTTCATTTTCCGAGAGAGAGAGAGTGAGAGAGAGAGAATGAGATGCAAATTCCGTGTCATCCCTCAAAAGAAGGCAAAACATCTAACGAACCGTCTCAACGATTTTCGCGTAATTAAGTAGAAACTCCAACAGCGCGGGAAAGAAATTCCGCCAATTTTCGGCAGAAATCGTTTTTCTGCCCATCCACTTCCCACGGCCCCCCTTTGGGGGTTTGCTAATGACTCCTGGGTTCGGGTTTCTAGTATTTTTTTTTTGTGTGCTTTGTTTTACAAAGAAATGAGGGGAGAAGAATTCAATCCCGTAATTCCCCCGAATCCTTCCTGAAATTTAACACAACTTTTTGCAGCATTTTTCAAAAAATTTGAAGCATCTCAAATCTAAGAAAAGGCAGAAATAATTTGCTGCAAATTCAGCATCTCTTACTGTATTTTTTTAAAAATTTAGAATTTTTGGATTAGCACAGAAAAAAAATTTTCAATTCAAATTTCGACTCGGTTTTCCGTGGCGCCAAACATCTTCCTTCCGTGTTCGCATTTTGATGGATGAGGCGTCTTTTCTTATCCAGATTTTTGTGTGCCTTTTGAACTTCTCTAATTTATTCTTTTTGTTTCCCTTCCTGTCAAAAGGAGGACTCGGATTTCGTTTGCGCACACATTTTTAGATAAAAACGCGTATCAAAACTTCCTTTCCCGTATTTTCTGGGCACGTACTGTACCATTATCTCCGTTTTTGCCTGGCTTGACAGGCGCCTTTATCGACCGAACATCGATTTGATCGATTGCAGCAGACAGACGCCACCTTTTCCGACGAAAAAAAAAAAAACCGCCAACAGAAAACGTGAACTCGTGATGTGCGGAAATTTTGTGTGAGCGACAGGCAAATATGGCACACGCGTGATTCTGCAAACTTTGCCATCAGGGTTTTTTTTTCTTCTTTAAATCTGTTTGTGCAGTTGAGACGCGAGGACAAATTTTATCCACTCGCACTAGATTTTTCGGGGATTTGTTTTTTCCTTATTTCTTTCCGGGGATTTTTCGGCTGATAATTTTGATTAAATACGGAGGGTTTTTCCGCGAACACGGCTTCGAATTAACATCAACAGTTCTCGGCGTTAATATTATTGGCAAATATTTGAGAGGGTGTCGAAGGGAGGATGATATTTTAGATTTGGAACCCGCGACGGGAAGAAAATTCGAAAATAGATTTAACGCGTGGCACAATCACCGAAGTTTTTTTT